ATAATATTATTTTTTGGTTCTAATATTGGTTTTTCTAAAAAAATTCCTAAATTTCAATATAATCTTGCATTTGTTTCCGAAGAGAATTTCTTTGCTGTGATAGCCTTTATACCCTTTTGTCCTAATAATGTAATTATCTGATTATTTTCTAATTTATAATTAGTAGTACTATTTTCACTAAGCTCCTGTGAATCCCATGCAAATTAAAATTATCCTCATATCTTTTCATTTGATACTCTTTATTCCCATTTTAATATCTTTATAGAAATTTTTTGTGCTGACTAAATAGTCCGGTGTAAAATATACTATTCTGCATTTATTATACATATATAATTCTATGCTTCCTAATAATCCCTGTTTTATATATGTGAATCTGCTATCATATAAACATACTAAGCCCTCGTTTGATTCCCATTCTTGGCCCAAAAAAAAAAGTTGAAAAATATGACTATTATCTATTACATCATGTCACCATATTTAACTTTCTATATTTTGTATAGATCTCATTTTCATTCTTACAAAAATGGGTATTAAATGGGGCCTAATACTTTCAGCTCCTAAATTTTCTCTATAAAACCATTTCACTCTTATTATTATTAATCCTAAATAAGTCTGTAGAAAATTTTTATTTACAATTTCTTTGTAAGATTCTTTTTCTATTAAATCTAAGGATATAAATTGATCTTCATGTGTACAATAAACATATCTTTCTCCATAATGCTGATATATTAAAGATTTGTTAAATAATTATTTATTTATTTATTATTATTATTATTTTTATATATGTCTACAACTTTTACAAAATTTAGCTTATTTTATCTAAACATTTCTACATGTTCTTCTATATCTATTAGAGATTTCACTCTTATTTCAATATCTGTATTTTTACTTAATGTTCTTAGTAAAGGATTACCAACTTATTTATTACTACTGGCTACAATTTGTTTTCATTTATCCATTACGTATAGATCCACTTAGTTTTCTTAAATTTATTAGGTTCTTTAGTTTTACCTAAATCTAATTTTTCTAATTTATTTATTATATTATCTAAATCTTGTCTAGTACTTATTGACTTTTCTTTTTTCTAATGTTTTAACTCTACTTTCCAATTTTTCTAAGTTAGGAATATGGGACTAGTATACATTTCTCCTATATTGTTAAATTTTCTTTTTAGTATTCAGTATTTTGATTTTTAATATATTCTAGATTACTTTTTAGAATCTTTATATTTTTATTTATAGTTTCTAATAAAGTTTATACCCTTTTATTTAAATTGTTTCATTCTAATTTTTCTCCTAAATTTACGATTAAATCTACGATACTATCTAGCTGTTTATTCTCAGAGTGTAAAAGATGCTTAAATTTTTTTTATCAAAATAACAAATCAAAGAAGTTGTATCTAAACTATTTTTTCTTTTAAAACTTCCTAAAATTTCTAAATTTAAGTAATCTACTCTTTTAGTAAACTAAGGGGGGTGTATTCAATTGAAATTTTTGAAAACTTTGATGGACTTTTTTTAAGTGATGACTTTTGTGAATTTTGTGGATTTTTTATAAATTTGTATGGAATTAATGGAAGTCTTTCGTAGACTTCTATGGATTTTCATTTTAAAATTTTTATAGACTTTCGGGAAATTCAAAAGATTTTTGAAAACTTTCATTTGAAATAGAATTCATGTAGACCTGATGTGAAATTCTCACATATTGAGTGTTAGTTCTCAAAAATCTCCTTCTTCTTCCCATATAATAAAAAAAATTTAAGACCTTACATATATATATATATAAACTTTTCAAAATAAATAAAAATTAATATATTTAAATTTAATTATAAATTTTTCATATAAACTTTTATAATTTAATTAAAAAATAGATATTTTTCACAAAAAAATGAATGAAAAAAAAGTTACAAGAATCCAATTTTTTCACAGAAAATAGAGATAAATAATAAGAGAGAGAGAGAGAGAGAGAGAGAGAGATAAATGAAATATAATCAATAAAAAATAAATTTTAATCATATATGTCCATAAAATATTAAAAGAAAGAAAAATGGATTTATTTTATTTTATTTTTTATGAAAGTCTCCCAAAATTTCATGATTAATGAGAGACAAAATTTAAGATTTTATATGATTACTTTCTGATTCAAAATTAGTACTCCAAATACTTTTATAAAAGTCTCTAGAAGTTATTAAAATTTGAATACTCCAAGACTTATAGGATTTCTAAAAAGTTTTAATTAAATACACCGTAATTTTTATAGAAATAATTTTTATAGACTTTTTAAAAGTCTATAAAAATTTTAATTGAATACACCGTGACTTTAAAATAGTCTCAAAAAGTCACAATTGAATGCCTCTAAACCTTTTAAATCTCAAAAAGTTATTAAAAGTTTCAATTAAATACACTCCCCTAAATATCTTTTAGGCTAGCAAATATATATATATATATATATATATAAACATTTTTAAAATTAAAAAAATAACTTTTATTTTTGTTTTTCTTAAAATTTATTTTATATAATGCAAAATTATCAATTTACCCCTCTCAAATTAGTGGGAAAAAAATGGCATGGTCATAATGAAATGTTACATGAAATCGAATAACAATAATAACACTAATATAAGTTTGATGATAATGGTGAAATAAAATCAAATTGAATGTTTTGGGTGAATTTAATCCTCAATTTTTATACAAATCTTGGGGTTAATACGTGGCGTGGGATCTACGAAAAATTCTGATTACTTCTGCCGGCTTCAGCCTGTGTGCTCGAAGAATCATTTTTTCCCCGCCCTCGCAACCGCCCCGGCGCTGCTCATAAACGCAGAATCTTTCTCCGCACGAACGACAAGAAAATGGCAGACCTTTTCTTCCCCAACGACATGCCAGATTTCGTTCAAGAAACTCCGGTAAAAGAATCGGCAGTTGGGTCTTCTGAATCGCCCAAAGACTCACTTACTAGGCTTCTTCACCTTCCTTACAAAACCATCTCAGAAAGGCTCAAGAAAGAAGCTTTGGACCTCAAAGAAACTGTACCCTCGTTTCTCCTTTTAATCATATTTCGAAATGTCTGGCTTTGCATTATAAAACACAAATTTATGTTGGACTTCTTTGGTTTGCTTCAGATAGTCAAGGAGACGTGGGGAGGAAGAGGAAAGCGTGTGAATGATTATACACTGTATACTGGAGCTCTTGGGACTGCTTTATTATTTTTTAAAGCTTACCAAGTTACTAAAAACCAGAATGATCTTGCTCGATGCTCCGAGATCATTAGAGCCTGTCGCTCTGCTTCCCAAGGCTCTGGGTATATTCAATTCCCCCCCCCCCCCCCTTCTCTTTTCTCTTTTTCTG